GCATCTGTCAAATGAGACCTACAGCGGCAGTGTCTGAATTCGAGGGCGTTGTCAACATCCTGGAAAATCTACCGGATAATTCCACGCTGGTCATCCAAGTCTACCTCGGTGAACCATCATCACCAGTCGAAATCGTGAAAGGAATCAAACTCCGGTGGACCAAACAACATCAATATGTACAACGTTTGCTCTGTTTACGTGCAGGTGAACATCGATTCCCACACCAGTCTGCAGGGAGTCACCGTGACCGTGGAAGACACGATATCACTCACCAAAATTTTCCTACCCGACAACATACATTTCATGGGGTTGAAGTGCACACCTGAGACATTATCAGAAAAACAATCGGAAAATATTTTATAACATTTTATATAAGCGATGAACAACCATCTTCCCAAAGTCACGCTTGGCGATCTAGGAGACATGGAGGGGTTCGATCAACTCGGCGAGTAAAACGCCTTGTATGTCCGGCGCTTAAGATATTACAACGTGTATGAACGGGTGGCTCTGACAGACTTTAAAGAACCCGAATGGTTGATCAACATGGCCCTCACCGCACCTTATATCTCTTTAAACAAAAATAGTTCTGTCTCCGAAATTAGGAACAACGGTATCTTGCTCGGGGCTTTCATTCCGGATTCTAGTATAAATGATCGACTAATACCGGATCACACGGGCAACATGTTAGTTTCAAACGTGGTTTCAGATTTAAGGTTCGGCGTACACGATTCCCAATTGGATCTTATGACTACGAAACCAGGCTCCACACTCGCCATAGAAGTCTATCTCGGGCCCACTTTTGAGGAGACAGAACGACAACTTTTACCCGGGTTGATAATACACTGGGACTTCATGACCAGTAACCAACGTTGCCGTATCGTCATACAACCGGAACCCTCGGGTTATATCTTCTCCTTAGTATGCCTCTATGGGGTTCGTGTAGACGCACGTTCGAGTTGCCTATTAGCCTCTCACATATTTTCCTGTACGATAATCTAAGCCTTATAAACCTCAAATACACTGTGCAAGAATTAAATGAAGCACAATTAAAAAATATCTCATAAAATATATATACTCCTCAAAAGAAGTTAAGGGTCACAAGTATTTTGGAATATAAGTAGAAGATATGGAAATAAAATTGTGACAACTAATGACAAAAACAAAACCTCAAGCTCTAAAGAAACGAAAACACAAAACAAAAAGTGAATGGTTTAGCACAACTTTATTCCACAATTCATCGAAGTCAAGTACCCCAAAATCAGAGTTCACACAAAGCCAGAAATCTTTAGTAACTCGTGTAGCCACCGTTAGCATGGATGAATTCCTGACCCTGTTGACACATGCTATTCATTAAACGCCTAAAAAATCGTTGGGGGATTGTTGCCCATTCTGCGACTAGTCGTTGACCCAGTTCTTGTGGGTTGATGGCAGGGACGTGATAAGCTTGAATTGTTCGTCCTAGCTCATCCCAGGCATGCTCAATTGGTAACAAGTCGGGTGAATAAGCAGGCCACACCATATGCTGAACGCTCTGCTGCTGCAGAAAGTCTGTCACCACCCTGGCACGATGGGGTCTAGCGTTATCATCCCGGTACTAGGCCCCTGGTCCCAGTTGACGAAGCAGTGGCATTACCAGAGGTTGAATAATCTCGTTGAGATATCGAAGACCAGTCAAATTCCCATTGACGATGTAGAGAGCAGTTCTGTGGTGCACTGAGATATCCGCCCAGACCATCACACTTCCGCCTCCGAAAGGTAAACGTTGAGCAACGTTGACGTCAGCATACTTCTCTCGTTGGCGACGATAAACACGGGTACGATCATCATTAAACTGGAGTGTGAAGCGGGATTCAGCAGAAAAGATTGTCTGTGCCCACTGATCACGGTTCCAACGAACATGCCAACGGCACCAATCTCGGCCAGCTCTTCTGTGCCGCTCAAGTAGTTGTGGTCGGACTGGAGAACGTCGAGAACGCAAACCTCGGACACGTAGACGATTTTGAACTGTCTGATCGGATACGTTGGTGCCACGGCCAGCTCTCAGCTGATCCTGAAGATGTCTTGCGGTCACAAATCGCTGTCGCAGAACCATCATCATCAAGTAGCGATCATTGCGGGCTGTTGTTTTCCAGGTCTTCCGGAATGGGCAGATTCTGGACAGCATTTGTTGAATGACTCGGAATGATCGGCGCATTTCTCCTGCCGAAATCTGTCATTTCACTTGGAAAACGGAAGAAATGGTGGTTCTCTCCCATGTTCGATGATGCCGTGCATCCCCAGGCAACACAATACACCATCGTACCATTTAAAAAAAAACGACAGAAACAACACGATTTTTACTACTGTAGCGCTTGGTCTTTGGCAATATGGCGGAATCCAGGCACATTTGACGTCACGAGCGGAAAGGTCACGTGGGTTCTAGCGAAATATGCATAATGGCCGAAGCTGAGATGTACAGAAACTGTTTTCGCGATTAAAACATAATTATACATAATTTTAATTGTAAATTTGGGCATATGTTTCTGATGACTTTATCTTTCACCCAGCAAATTATTGCAATTCACTCGTATTCTCCTTTAAATGATTTGGAATTGATAGTGATGGCAAACTTATTTCTACCTTAGAAAATCATCAATAGTATTTTAACTTTCTGCTTTCAAGCGGGGTATGACAATATTTTAATACACAGTGAAACAAAACTGACAAAATTGTAAACATCAATAGTTAAAAAAGAAATCTCTGGCATTCAATCGGATCCGTCACACTTTTTAAATGAATGCTAGGAATTTCTGCCTTCTGGTCGCCGTTTCAAAATCATGTGGGCGGTGGGTTAGCCCAGTGGTTAAAGCGTCCGCTCGTCACGCCGAAGGTCCGGGTTCGAGTCCCCATGTGGGTACTATATGTGAAGACCAGTTCTGGTGTCCCCCGTCGTGATATTGCTAGAATATTGCTAAAGGTGGCGTAAAACCATATCAACTCACTCACTCAAAATCATGTATTACAAAACTAACAGAACTTCAAAGTCATTTGTCCAATACAGCGTAAAACGTCTAAATCTACCTCCGAAATTGTAATGTTGAAATTGTACTTAACTGGCGAATGCGATATGCAATATGGCCGACGACGGGTAGACGTGCCAAACTGTCAGTTGAGTGATGGCGGATGTATGTAATTCTAGAAGTGCATCAAAGTGAATGATTATATGATCTATGATTGGGATTACTACTGAAAAATTTCGTGCAAACCTCGGTGGTTTTGTACCAATACAGTGACGGATATTGATGAAGTAAGGTCGACATGCAGTGGCGTCTCGCATACCACGAATGAATGAATGAATGAATCCTCCAGATAGGTCCAAAAATCCTCAAAACGTCATGGTTTTATAATTATATAATTAACAGAATACTCAACAAACATACACATACATACATGTATATATATAGATTTCCCCATATATATACAGGTTATTTACAGTCAGGTATTGGATAGATTTATTATCTAGATTGGATAGATTGTTATCTAGATTGAGGATATCTTTTAGTTTATACAAATACTTTGAGAATCCTATAATAGTAAAATGCCATGTTATTTCATCAATGTCATTGTTATGGGCCCCAAGAAAGAATGCCGCCATGTCATGCTCTTCCATCATCTCTATATGGATATACATGTACATGTCAACATCAAGATTATCTATTAGAGTTTAGAAAAATGCATCTCTCTCTCTGAAAGTTTAGGATAACATGATGATAGTAATCATTAGCAAAGGTATTACATTTTTTACATTCCTTTTATATTTTGCTTCCGGATCCAATCCTTATTACATACTGCAATTCTTCTCTCAGTTCTGGATATAACAATGCCATGCTGTATAACACATGAGGTGAAAGTGCTGTATGGATTTTAGAATATCGAGACAAGTCCGCTCTGCATGATAGTTTATATTTCCATATTTCCATACTTCTCCTCGTGGTTACTTATTTAATACAATCTCCACTTATATTTCGCCGGGAATTCTCCTGTGCAGATGTAGTGAAATACAAAATGAAGTAAGTTATATTTCTTAGCTGTTGAAAGCAGTACTCCAAATAAACTGTCTAAGTTCTTGGTATGAGAATAATAGAGTGAGGTAGATGCACAAAAGATTGTTTTACAGATTGGGACACATAATAAGTTACAGAGACGCCCAAGCAGCTGTAGTCTGCATTTATCAATAGCCAACCATGCTCCAGAATCCTAGATCAGCAATGGTGGCATCAGTAGGAGAGAGTTTATCAAAACCTTGAAAAACTCGTTGTTAATTTTATTCTTTTCCATATCTTAATACTTGCATAATGATGTAAATACCTACTGTTTAGACCAACAGAGAGGCGGGAATTAACAGTGCGCCTTGCTTTAGTACAGCTCTCCTCAATATGTAGTTTAAAAGAAAGAGTACTTTGGAGAAGAACTACCACGTACTTTACACTATCAGACAGGGGTATGTCATGATCTCCATGTGATAAGCATGCATACGCATTAGTTGCTTCTGTTTTTGAAACACCACAATGTTACTTTTTGATGCATTATAAGTTAATCGCCATTTGGATGCGTAATTAACAACTGTGTCTACAGCTAGTTGTATACTTTTAGGGCTGTAACTAATAAGTGTAGTATCATCAGCAAGTAATACACATGGCAATCTAACGTTATATATACATATTCCAGTGTCTACCTGCCGCAGATCACTTATGATGCCATTTATGTACACTAGAAATAACCAAACTGAGATAACTCTACCCTGACCGATGCCTTGTTTAACAGCAAAAGTATCAGACTGTTCACCCTTATACTGAACGCACGCATACATGGAAGTGTAGCAGTGACGTAACAGAGACCACATTATACCTTTTATACCCAGATGATAAAGTTTAACGAAGAGACCCGATTGCCATATTCGATCAAAGGCCTTCTCGTTATCTAGGAATGCTGTGTAGATGGTTCATGGCCGGGAAGGCTAAAATCGCGACGCTTCTCGGTTCAATGAGCGTATCCTTCGCGGTACTTGCAAGGTATCTTCCCATAAGACAGACCTCCCAAAAGACATACCGCTTCAAACAACACACTTTATCGTTGGTTGCATAAGGTTTAATTAAGCTGTTCCCTTGATAATAATGGTATGTGCCCAGATAAAAAAGACAACATTAGGTATTAACTATAGTTTTATCAATTCATGTAATGAATTATGATTTTTAAATTAAGATACATTGCATCAACATATATAAATATCTTTGCCAAATCGCATTTACTTGTGAATATTACAAAACAATAACTTACATACATGTACCTATGAGACCAAGCACCATATTATTTTACATCACGTTTGTCAGTTCACAGATTACACTTATTAGAAAGTCACTTGAACATCATCAGTGTCCCTGATGAAATCTCGCACAGTGGTACATTTTGCCCGACAAGACTTCCACACAAATCTCCAGTCCTATACACAATTTCTCCTTTCACCTTGTTCTTGGCATACTGGTAGCCATCTAGAAGTACCTGGGGCGCACCTTTCTTGGATGGGACATACTATGCTCTTCTCAGGCCAGCCATATCGAAATAAGACAATTTTGTAACCATGCCCACACACACACACACACACATATATATATATATATATATATAATAACAAAGATACACAGTAAAGTGCTTGAGAACATTCGTAAAGGAGAATCCGAACGAAAACAAAACTTTTGATATATTGTAAAGGATATTCTAAAAGTCACCTTCCGTGATTAAAATTGAACAAAAAGTTTGTAAAATAGCAATAAAAACATAAAAAACGTACTCGTATTTCCGCCTTTTACGGAAACACCCGACAGTTAATGAGCAGAGGGGTATCACGTGACATGACGTCATAAGTGCCTGTTGCTGATGGCTGCCTCTTTGATTTTACCTCACAACTTAACAGTGTCCATGGATTCTGAATCAGTAAAAGGTGTTCCTGGTGTCATTTCTGAAACGGATGTTAGACCGTATCAATACGATCCGATTTTACATCTTGCAAGACAATCTTCCACTGAATCGATGAAGAAGAATCAAGCGAAACGGAAGCACCGCTTGCGTTCAAAATAAATTTTAAAATATACCATATCATTTAACAAGAATACTATTTGACAGCAAAATGTGATAATTTCCAACCAGCAAACCCACCCATATAAGTATATGACCAGTCCCTAGGAATTATATTTTTGGCAATGTGATTGCAGTTCCTTTTGTGTCAAATGGGTGACTGTAGGCTGTCTGGGATTTAAAACCAAAATAATTATGCTTCAGGCGAGGGAAAGTAGAAATTATCTGCTACAAAAATGACACTGGAATTATTTTGTTGAAAAAAAAAATAGGATCCTAGTTCTCATTAATAACGTAGCAAGTCCCCACACAAAATCCCACCCTGGTCGAGCAGAGATAATATTCGCGACGCAGATAAGTTATTCCCCGAAAACTGGTGAATTATAAAATACTTGTCAGGACAATGTATGTTTCCCCAGTGTTTGGTTATGGGAATAGATATGGTACTCGGCCATAGCCTTAAAATGGCATCTTGTCAGCCAGTATGAACACAGAACAACTTTCACGGCACACACTACTGACAAATAGCGAGTCTGATGCCGACGTGCATAATTGGACAAAACGGAAAACAATGAAAGCAACAAGTACTTCATGATTTGCCGTTGTATTAGGCAATGTTTCGGGTAGTCTGCAGCATTTAGGGCTAATTGACTTACGGAATTCTTCATTCCATTTTAAGGATTATAACTTGTCATCCCATAATAAGCCGGGTAACAATCCAAACAAACATTCCATGAACCCGAAGAAACAGATGAACCTGAACAGGGTGGCATATTTAAACAAATACAGAACACGGTCAATCGTATTTAAACATTTTTCTTTTCCTGTTTCAGAAAAACAAGATAGCAACCCGAATGCTGCTTCTGGATGGATGCTCAAATATGATGTCAAAATACCGCCTGTTGTGTAAGTGTCCAGGAAGTCTTACTGACATTGTGGGCCATGAATGAGCCATTTTAACTTATGTCCAGCTTGAAGAGGAATACTTTTTATGGATAGACAATAAAGAACTTTATCCATAAAAAGTGTTCATCTTCAACATACCAGCTTCTAAATGCCACTTAAAGAAGTTATATGTCCAACTTAACAGTTGTTTTTATAGTCTCTTTCAATATCACGACGTTCCAGAAAGGTGACCCGAGTCATTTAAGTGGAAACTGCGATTGCATGTTAGTGTGGAAATATCACGCATCTTCCGGTTGGGACCAGAAGATGGAACTAACTGAACTGAACTTTTATTCACTCAGGCTGCAAACTGCAGCATAAGAGGTACATAAATAATATTTACATTTATATACAACATAAAAAGTATATACAAACGGTATGATAGGTGCAATGTACATTGAGCTAGTTACATATTAAGTTAATGAAATTATTTCTTTAAAAAGCCGTAATTATTTTACAAAAAATTGAGAGTTTTCTTAAAGTTCCTAGTCTCTTGGTGTTAAATAGGATATTCATTTTATACATATTTGGTCTAATATAATAATACTTCTGGATATATTTTTCTCTTTCTAATTCTAATTTGGGACATATAGATAAATAATGAAATTCGTCACCAATATCATTTAGGTTACACATAGTACACCTTCTATCATTTACTGGGATTCGTCTCCATCTACATGTCTCGATTGGAAGAAAATGATTTGAAGTTCGAATTTTTAACAAGCAGTAAATTTAGGTATGGTTCAAAGTTGAGAGATGGATTTTTGAAAATGTTATAAGTGGTTGCTTTGGATGAGGTATCAATTGTTGAGATCCATGTTTTGCTGGTAAATATCTTTTAATTTACTTTTGATAACAGTTTTAAGCCAAAATATACTTTTAAAATTTGGAATTTCCAGATAAAACTCAGTCCAAGATTGTCGAAAATTCTCTCAAGATAGATTATCCATTTATGTTCACACTTGCCAAATATATAATCGTTGAATATTAATTTATAAATTAAGAGGCATAATTTTGATAATTTTCCGGTTACAAGTTTAGCCCAAAACATACCATTCTGCTTTTGATAACATTTACAAGAGGGAATCTACCAAACTCGCCATATAACATAAAGTTAGGTGTACTTTTCCTGAGTGATACTAAATATTTAAGAAAGTGTAGATGGACACTTTCAAAGCAAGAAGTATTTTCAAACCCCAGACCTCACATCCATATAAAAGAATCTGGGTGACCATACAATCAAACATTTCAAATGACAATCAAAGGAAAGTTTAAATTTTCTGCCTTGGCTTAATACAAAAAACATTGCTTTTGTTGCCTTTTCCACCAGTATACGTTTGGCTTTAGTAAATTTACTATTCTTTTGTAGTGTAATGCCAACATACGGATAATAATCTTCATTTTCCAGGATAGTATCTCCAATATTGAAACTTCTTTTGGATTTGGATGTGTTAATTTTAAGTTTCCATTTTTACAATAATTATAAAAGAATGTAATATATTTTGCAAATCTCAAGGATCAGAGGACATAAGGACGGTATCATCAGCATATAGCAAGGCAAAAAGTGTAATGAGCGTGTCTAAGCGGTTGTGGAAATCACCGGGTTTAAGTTGTAAACCACAACATGAATCTGAAGCTAAAGCATCTTCAAGATCATTAAGAAATAATGAAAACAAAACTGGAGACAAGTTCTCTCCTTGGCGGACACCTAATTTACATAAAAAGAAATTAGAATAACTACCGCCGTTACAAACACATGATTTTATATTTTGATGCATGTTAAAAATGACCTTAAAGCATTTCCCAAATATGTTATTTTGTCAAATTTTTTCAAGAGCCCTGAACTCCAGACGGTATCAAATGCTTTTTGGAAATCGATAGATGCGCAATATAATTTCTTTTGGCGACATTTTAATAGTTCCGAAAGGTGAAATAAACTGAAAATATGGTCTGTTGGCGAATATCCTTTTCTGAAACCAGAAAGAATTTGGTTTGATTCGATGAATTTATTTAATCGGCTGTTTAAAATAGATGCGAAAAGTTTTCCAAAACAGCTTAGTAGTGTTATTGGTTTATAATTTTCAGGGTTTTTAGGATCGCCTTTATTTTTATAAATTGGTTTGATGTTACCAGTTAGCCACTTATCTGGAAAGATACCAGTGTCAAGTACAATGTTTAAAAGTAACAAAAATATCTAAGAATATATCAATCGTAGTAGAGATATATTCATTTACCACATAATCAATTCCAGGGGCTTTACTATTTCTAAGATTTTCACACATGATACTATTTCATCATTAGTAATTTCAGAGTTTAGTATAGTGCTATTTCCAGTGTCGACGTGGGGAAGATTATCATAATAATTATGTTCGACAGGTAGCTCTTCATTTTGCGATTTAAAAAATAAAAAAAATAATCAATTTGTGGAGAATGTTCTGAGCCCGTTTCTGCTTTACATTTTTAGTATTTTCCAAAAGGAACGTGAATCATTTTTCCAAAGTTGTGATAGTTTATCTTGGATGGATTTAGTATGTTTATTAGAAAACTATAGACATTTTTGTAATGTTTACTGGCATTTTGCAATCGAGATTTATTCTGGGATGATTTACAATTTTGGTATATCCTTTTTGCTTCAAAGTATTTACCCCGTGAAATTTTGCATTGTTTGCCAAACCAAGGTTGATTAGTGCGATTTTTTAAGGGATGTCGACGCGATTGATTTTTGCATTTAAAGCCAAAAAGCTTACCTGCTGTAGAGACAAGCACATTGCTTATGGCATTATTAACAGGAATGATTACATGGAGCGGGTCATCAGAACCCTCATTAAGAACATTGACAATAGATTGTATAACTAAATCTGAGTTACCAACAGCTTCAACGTACTCATTCGCACGTGCTTTCTCCTGATCTCGGGAGTTTCATTATGTACAGTGTTAGTGGTATTACTTTTTACAACAAAAGGCTTTGTGTAAAAGGATACAGAAACTGGTGAGTGAATATCAGAAAACAATGGTTCAAACTCGTGCACTTTAAAACCAGCGACAGCGTGGCAAATAACTGCGCTTGCTATGGCGTAATCAACCACGCTTACACCTTTACATGTAACTCTACCTATCCCTTTATCCTCTCCAATCCCACCATTAAGAATATACAAATTGTTATTTTTACAAAAGTCTAGGAATTTATAACCATGTGAATTTACTCTACCCATGTCTTCATTACATCTATGGATTGGGATACCGTATGATTGTAGTTTATCGACATCATTCATAAAATCACACAATTCTAATGGAAGCATTTCCTCATTTACAATATCATCGTCACTTGATACATAATCTTCCAATATTCCCGTACGAGCATTTATATCCCCGATTAGGAACAAACTTTCACATATGTCAGATAAAACATTGTTTAGCTCCGGGAATGTATCATCGTCGTAATACCTAGAACCCTCAGGGGGTATATAGGTAACTCCAATATAAACACAGTCGTTGGAGATATTTTGACAATTAAAGTGAATTTAATCACTTGAGGTTTCAAAGATAAGCACATAATCCGATTTAAGTTCAACCAGTTTAAAATATTTGCCAATATCGGTTCAGATGGCAACAGGTATACCCACCCGATCGTTTGTTCGTAACAGGGGTTCTATTGTTGTAGAATATATCATAGCCTGGTATATCAATAGAGTCAAAGTCGTCTAGTTTGGTTTCAGCGAGACACAGAATACTGTACTCACTTATGAGTTTACAAATTCTGGAACAATCAATCTTGTTTTCAGTCCACAAACATTGAGATATAGAAGATTGAGATCGTCATTGTGTTCCGTTTGAGTATGTGTTTTGTTGGCTTCACTGTGGGTGAAAGCTATACCATTCTCACAAGTAGACTGACGTTCGTCACACAGCTATAGTCACGTTGATCATCATTCTCGTTTACCTTGACTGACGTTCGTCACACAGCTATAGTCACGTTGATCATCATTCTCGTTTACCTTGCGGATCTTGTTTGGTTGTGTATATCTCACGGCGTTGGCGTATGTGTTTCTGTTGGTTGGGCGACTACCCCCGAACAGATCGTCTCCCGGATAACACCGTCTGCCATCGATGTACAGTTTATCAACAGTTAGGTTAGCTTTGCAACCTCGACGCCGTGCCTCTTTAAACAGAGGAAGAAGTTCCTTACGCCTACTTACGATTTCAGGAGGAAATTGCTCACTAATTCCGTAAAGTGTGTCTCTGAGTGCCCGGGTGCTAGTTAAAACTTGCCAACGTTCATCCGAGTTGCAAATTTTGCAACAAGTGTACGGGGTCTGTTTGATTTGCGTGGTCCTCTTCTGTGGGCGCGCACAAGTTGAACATCAACATCACACTTGAGATTCTTCTTCACGAAGTTCTGGACAACTTCGCGTGGTTCTTCGCCTGACATTTCAGGGATTCCGTGGAAGAGAAGATTATCTCTCATTGAGCGCACTTTAATATCCAGCACGGCTTCTTTCATATCTCTCTGCTCCACCTGAATAGAATCTATCTCATAGTACGCCTCCTCAATGTCTCTAGATAATCTATCCCGTTCTTCACCACTATGGTTCTCAACGCTGTTTAAGGTTATTGTTTTCCCTAACCAGCTCGTTACATTTGCTTGTGTTTTAACACAGGCATCGAGTCTGTCAACTCGTTGAGTTGTCTCTTTGAGTGTAACCTCGAGTGAAGTGAGTTTATTGTTAAAGGTCACATGCAACGTAAAACACAACTTTGCAGATTCTGATACCTTTCGGTATGGACTTACCGAAACAAAGCGTCAAAAAATGCAAATTCAACTTATAAAGTTGAAAAATAACGCGACGAAAAAAAACGCGCGAAATCGGAGTTCAAACGTTTCACTAATTTTCCCCAGACTTTTCTGGGGAATACGGGTTTCAACAGCTGGGCTGCGCTCATAGCACGTGCGCAGTGAAATAGGTTCGCGCAGCTTGGAAGCGGGCTGTCTGGTGAATACTCGGTGAAGGCTTTGGTGTGAGCTATTTTCATAATGTTTTGTTGATATCTCACAGGCGCGAGCTTTTTTATATGTTATGACAGTAAATAAACTGTTTATATAATTTCATTTGTCTATTTCACCACACGTTCTTCTTACCGAGTCACTTTCTCAGTTCGATACTTAAAAGCAATGTCATTATTTAGCGTTGACAGAATTTCTAACTGTGATATAGATATGTCGCTGTCACAGACAAAACTCAATGTCTTGTTTTATTGACACCTGTGTGTCTGCCTGCCTGTCTGCTAATGACAATATTCAATACACAACTGCGATCACTGACCACATGCAATTTGAACTTAACACCAATCAGGCTATACACCATAAACAAAACGCATTGATTTATGGCCCGAGTTCGGTCTCTGTCACATTATGTAATTACACAGACAGGCAGATGTGATACTTGAACACATGACATGTTATGATGTCTGTTGATTGCAAAATGTTATACACAAAAAAAGGAGCATGTATTTACAAAACCCAACATCTCTATATATACACACACAAGGAGCCGTGAAGGAGGCATCTGCTAATGAACCAGCCGTTACACTTGAGTGCACACCCACCCGCTCTGACTGGGTTCGGTATCCCGGCTGCTTCGTTTCGAGGGAGGTAAACCCAAGTACAAAATATTGCACTTTTGATTTGCGATTATACGCTTATAATTTTGTTTATTTGTTTTTTCATAATCAGCAATGCATATTATATGTCATGAAGAAGTGATAATTGTGTTTTAATTATGTTTGATTTTTTGGTTGCATGTGACCTTTAATGCTGGTGAGTTTTTTTATCGAAACCTACAATATGATGCATTCGTTCTTGTACAACATGAACCATTCCCGTAAGATGTTTCATTTGATCAAACAAGGTCCTTATCCAGCTATTATTGACATTGGGGTCTGAACAACCTACCTGACCTTGTGATCCGTGTACTTGTGTTTGTCCGCTGTTCTGTATATTTTGAGCCGGGTCCCGTCCAGATTGTGGGTTGGGGACACACTGTGTAAAATCCTGCTACACTGCATACATTTCCAGGAGTCAGTATGATGATCACAATATTTTATCACAATAGTATGGAGAGCACAGAGATTTCGTGGTCAACAATAACAAATACAGGCAATCCCTAAATAACCGCATTTACGTTTTAGTAGTGTACTGCTTGTCAGCAGGAGTGTGTTATGATTGGGTGGCAGTTCAAACGCCTCGCCCAATCAAACATCACTCAGATAAAGTTAAATGGAACCTCACATTCCATATGGCTTGTTCAAGTCTGATAACAGGTACAAAGATCGCCATGAGATAGAAAAAGTGTTGATTTTTTTCCGAAAGATCTTCAGGGGTTCAAGTGTGCAAGAAATATTAGATATTTGTACAGAGAGCGTGAAAAAATAGCATAAAAGCGGGTAAATGCATGTTTAAAAATAATAATAACAATTAAAAAAAGAAATTAAGAGCAAGGAAGGTAAACAAATTCAGTGTGATTTCAGTGTTGTGTCAAATGAACTATATCTATCTGTGTTTCAGTGTTCGTCGTCGTCGCGTTCTGTGGAGTTTCCTTGTACCAGTATATGAATGTCTTCACGACCTCAAGGGGAACGATACTTCGTGGTAAGTGTTCCCTTATGTACTGACATCAATTAGTTAACACACATGTACATTCAACCAAAGTGAAAATTTGACAGTTGCCAAAGTGATTCCTGCAATGGAAGTAGATTATTGTTATGAAAATAGACCCATGATCTGGGATATCCTCGAAGGAACAACACATACAATGAAATATGGAAACGAGCTCTTTTCCAAATTCGTGCAAGACCAAGGGTTGATTCATATACACTCGTCTACCCGGCACATCCCAAATGTGTTCGATCGGGTTCAAGTCTTGGGAACAAGAGGGCAAGGCCATGACAATCAACACCGGCGTTACGTAGGACGTTGCACGTTAGAAACGTAGTGAGGGGCATAGCGTTATTTTGAAATATCAGTCCAGGACCATGTAGCTACATGCATGACAGAAGGACTGGGGTCAAAACCTGGTCCCGTTACTGTCTTTAAGTACGCCTTCACTGAACGACAACCAATTGACATTGGCCAAAGGCACAACCCCCACCCCCACCCCGACCATTATTCGCCAGGTCCTTAGTGTCACGAACACAGCACTGAGTCACACTTGTAATAAGCTATTAGCACAGAGAAATGTGAAACACAACCCTTCACTGAAGACAAACCTGTTTCACTTCTCCTGGTTGAATTTGGCATGTCTGCTGACCAGACGTTGAATATGTTGGAATTGGATCCTATGTATGGTCGTCTGTCTGCGGTCTGCAGTCGATTTCTGATGTTCCTCCGAACTAGTGTCTGCTGTTGGAGGTTGCAGTCACAAATCTGTCGCAGTGATGGCAAACCTGGTTTGTATGTCATCTTGTAACGTCATTCGCGCAGCTCAAACCTTGGGCATTCTACAACGTCGCCTGTCTGTTGCACGTCCTTAGACTGAGTATTGACTGACGACCAGAGCCTAGCATACTGCTACAACAGATTGAGCATCGCTCGCTTACGTTGCTGATTTCTGTGTCACGGCTTGCTCGCTATATGATTTAACTTATGATGATGATTTGGAGATTTTATGTGTGCTTTCCGACATGATACTATCGAAAGAGGGGGGAGTTCGACTGAAAGACATTACATTGCTGAAGGGGGCGTTTGGGTTGCATATCTATATTGGTAGGAAATTGCCAGGGGAGCGGAAGTACTGGGGGTTAGGTTGGTATTTGGATTTTGTTTCTCTTATTTAAGGTTATGTGATTTTGATGGGTTTTTTTATATTGGTACTTGTGGGATATGCATGACATATCCAGTTTTGAAATATACCAAAGACATTAAAGGTTTGGGCGATATTTAGTGAATTTAGGAGTGTTTGTAATGATACGTTTGTGTTTATGTCCAGCAAAACCGTTTGGGGCACCATTCTGTGTTGCTTGTGGTATGTGCAGTTGGACATGTTTGGGTGTTACGCCTTTGAATGACATTTAGAAATGATACACATAAGGAAGAGAGTTTTTTATGGATGTCAACTTCTTTATTATGAGGATCAGGCGATGATGTAGTAAGGATATACTCCGAAACGTTGTGTTCCCCAAGAAGTTGGACATCTATAAAAACTCTCTACCTTATGTTTGGCTGTTACGTTGCACTATGTGCATTTTCTCCCATCTTTGTTATTCTACGTAGGGTCGAATTTATTTGTGCGACCTGTTTGTAATTTGGGCATCTCCCTGTCAGTATTTTTAGACCTATGGTAGTTTTTTTTGTTTTTGTTGAGCCCATTGAGATAATCTGTTTGAATGATAATTATATTGTGTTATTTGGCGAGCGGTTCTTGGATCGATGTTACTATGCCCATTACTTCCTTCCTGAATATTGAATGGTTGTCTATGATTGAGAGGGTTGTTGTCTGTCGATGCCTAAACCCATGCGTTTTGTCTATGTAAATGTGACACCAATTCGGCCAGTGTTCCTGCATGCAAACAAGTGTTGTGTTTTGGGTTTGTTTGTTAATTGTTCCACCGGTGGGTTTTGTATTTATATTAGGAATTATTAGTTTAGTTGTGAATATGGTGGATGAATTGGTGTTTTGTTTAAGCTGATTTTAGATGTGTTCAGTTATGAAGTTCATTACGCTTTGCGATATTGGGGATAGAAATGTTTTTTGTGCGTGCATGTGCTTGACGCTTTGGTGCTCATGTTGGTATTTATGAGTAGTTTGATGGTGGGTTATGTTTGGTTATGATAGCCAGAGATCTTTGCTTAATCTTTCCCGTCTTAGTTCTAAAGGAATTTCACCTGTTAGTATTTGTAATGAGATAGGTGAGGGTCCTTACTGTGTGCGTGATTGTTTATGAGGCTTTGTATTGTACTCAGAGTGTTGTAGATTACGCAAACTTTCCATTTTCTGTTATAGTAATGTCCGTGTGCTTATGTGACTCACTGCACGCGATTTTTGTGATTTAGGTATAATATATAATTTTCAATTCCAGTTAGAAATATTGTTTTCCAAGAGTCCCCTCCTCTTGACAAATCGATGGACCTCTTAACGGATATTGTACTGAATGTATTACATGTATGCTGTTCTATTATTGCTAGGGATATGTGAACCGGCGACTCACCGTGACACCGTGAAGGAAGAATCTCGTTTGTTGTCCATGCAAGGTAATTATTATGACTCACATGTTATTTTTGTCCAAAGGATTAATTTGAATTGTAATGAATCGAACAGTTGCATCATGCACAAACTGTTGTGTGCTGTGTATTTACAAAGTTATATTTTCTTTTGAAATATATTATATGTTTAATATTCTGATACCTTAAACATGACATCTTATATTGTAAGTATAATTGGAACTTGTACATGCGTACAATACATCAAGTAACAGAGAAAATATCCTGTATTCCATTTAATGTCTCTATTGAAATAAAATTAAAATTAATATATTGACATCTTATTTCAGAAAAGCATCTGGTGTCTTCCACTTTCTTCGCAGACAATCTCAAGATGTCGAATACTATATTTCAACAAAAGATAGCCGGTATGTGCATCTCATCTCACGAACATGGGGAGATACTGCCACATAAATACCCGCGAGGACCCGGGTTAGAATTGATCTTCAACAACCCAAACGACCCGAATGAGGCGACTAATGGGATCGGCTCGCTGACTTTGTTCACACGTGTCGTCGTAACCTAATTGCAATATTCCAAAAGACCGATGCTCATGTTGTTTGGAGGGGCTGTAGGGTAGCCTAATGGTTAAAGCGTTGGCTCGTCACTCCAAAGACCCGGGTTCGAATCCCCACATGGGTACAATGTGTGAAACCCATTTCTGGTGTCCCCCGCCGTGATGTTGCTGGAATATTGCTAAAAGCGGCGTAAAACCAAACTCAGTCAGTCAGTCATATTGTTGGCTGGATTGTGTGGTCAAGATTTGATTATTTACAGACCGTCGCCATATCGCTGGAATATTGCTGTGCGCGGTGTAACACTCAAATCACTCACTCACTCATAACGTAGTAAGTACCATGGGTCATATGGTATTGATCAGTAAGTCAGTGACACCAGACATTCGTCAAAATATTGGTAATTTTGTCAATATAATTAGAAAGTATCATGAAAGAAGTTTCAGGGTCCTAGTCAGGGTATTGCTCCGGTAGATAATGTGTTAGATTGTGATACTGATGAGAGATGTTAAGTTTGATAATTTTGCTGACAAGGCGAGCCCTTAGCTTTGCAATTCTGAGATTTTAGATCCGTACATCTAGAAACCAGTGACAAAACTTCGCGCGCATATACGAAGACTGGTAAGTTTCTCTTTGTTGCGCAACCCTACTTGTGGTACAGTTTGCATGTGGGTCAACATGTGCAAGCTTTTGATGTGCTTAGTTTCATGATCTTACTCCAGTGGAACATCCGGTCCTTTACTGACGTCACACTTTGTGTCTTTTTTCATTTTTTCATCTTCCCTATTAGGGGCCGCAAGATTTTATATTTCAAACAAGAATCAGTGAGGTATTTGTCATTTGCAGCCTTGAAGAAACACAAGTTATGGGCTCAACTGGATCCCATTTCCAACTGTACCGGACGTGAAAAAAGGACGTAAGTCACAGCTTTCTCTATCAGTTTTAATGTAAATGCTACAGTAATAGACATATGTACGCACTGTGTCCACAAGTGTACATACTAGGATTATAAAAGATAACAAATTGAAACAAGTCTGCTGTGGTTTGCCACATTGCGTCTGTGATGGAAAGCGCTGAACCAGTATCAGTGTTTGAATACACCACTTCGAACCTGACTTCATCTAGATATAGGGGTAGCCTAGTGGTGTCATCGTTCGCTCGTCACGCCGAGGACCCGGGTTCGATTTCCCATAGTGGTACAGTGAGTGAAGCCCATTTCTTGTGTCCCCGGCAGTGATATTCCTGGAACATTGCGAAAATCGACGTAAAACCATACTCACTCACTCATGCGGGTATGTGTACCAAATAACGACGACAGAACCATATCCACAATCATAACAATTCTCTCATGTCTTAAAGATGAACTATATTATACTATAGCCCATATATTTTGAATACATGTTGCGCCTGGATACTTTGTGACGTCGTGTAATAATCTGATCATTTATTTTTTAAAACTTGTTGCAGGCAATGACCTGTGATATAATTAATTTAGTGGATACTTTATAGCTCATTATCTACAGGTTTCTATATTATGAATATGAATACATAATGTTTGAGTAACATTATCACTGAAATAATGCTGACGTCAGCATATACATTTTGATTCCCTAATTCAGTGACTCCATGTTCTACACTGCAGCACAGTTATGTGACGACACAGGGAGGTGTTCTACATCGCTTCCGGCTGCTGACAGCATGGATAATATTAAAAGTATCCTTACGCCATTGACGAAAATCAAGGATGGTGCCCTGGAGATGTTGAAGGACATGTTTGGAGCTCCATCTGTTAAAGTGAAGTATGTGTTCCTGACGGCGGCTTCAGCAAATCACTTCTCTGAGTCTCAAGCCATGATAGAATCACTGAGCAACAACATTCTGCCCAGTTTGAAGAACTACTCATTCTATTATTACGACATGGGGTTAAAGAAGAATCAAGTTGAACTTGTGAGTTTAACCGTAATTCATATGTAGGCCATTTTCAATAGGCTTTCGTTTAGATGTTGCTTATGGCTGTACTCGGCAATATTCCAGCAGTATGACGGCCGTCTGGAAGTAGTGTTTTGGACCAGACAGTTTATTAATGGAGATCACGACCATTGCTGTAAGCATTTATGAATGAGTTTAGTTTTACGCCGCATTCAGCAATATTTCAGCTATATTGCGGTTGTGATATGTAAATAACCGAGTCAGGACCAGATAATCCAGTGATCAACCACATGACCATCGATCTACGCAATGGGTTAAGCATGTGGGATACGATGACAATCAAGTCAGCGAACCTGACCATCCGATCCCGACAGTTGCCTCTTACGACAAGCATGTGTTGCTAAAAACCAATTCAAACCCAGTTGTAAAACGACACACGGATGTTCAAACAAACCATAGGTAGCCTGGTTTGTTTCTGTCCCCTGAGAACATTTTCATACCTTCAAAGTTAGGATCATTTGCGAGTCACTACATCATACACACCGATTTGTATGTATAATTACCACTGTACATTGTCTTGTAGCTGCAAAACTTCAGCAAGGCAGAGGTGATAAAATTCCCTTTTCATCGTCTGCCACACCGGTTTGCCAACCTGCGGTGTTATACATGGAAGCCGTTGATACTACAAGTAAGTATAACCATATCCACTCATCAATTCTCATCATATTCTCACACTTTTGTTGCGTTTATTTGACATATATATGATATATTTGATATCAATCGGAAGACCAGGATCGGATTTGATTTAAATGAAAACCACATTTTGACAGGTCCTGTAATGTTTCCCTAGTCTGTCATACAGATCCTGAAGAAAGTATATCCAAGAAAGCCTATGCAAGTCTAGAATGTGTGACAAGTCTAGAATGTGTGGCATGCCTAGAATGTGTGGCATGTCTAGAATGTGTGGCATGTGGCAATCAAATCAAGTTTGTACACAGGTGGGGGGTGTCAGCAATTTTGTACATATTTTGTCAGTATGCTTAACAATTATCGGAAGGGGAGGGGGCGTCATGGATTTTGTACATGACATTGGGGGACTTACTGCGCACATGAATTTAGGGGGGTCTTTCACATTGTACATACTCCTCCATATATATCATCACACACACACACACACACACACACACACCATAAATTATGAAGGGATCCTAACTTGATGAGTTAATTTCTTTGTCTTTTCAGGCTCATTTTGACTCAGCAGAACATGTCATTTGGATGGACTCGTCTGTTCTGTTCACGACAAATAATACACAAGCAATGTTCCAGAGACTGAAGTTGACAGGAGTTATAATGTCCACCGAAAAATTCCCATTTGCTCAGCACACCTCGATGCATTTGTTTTCCTACTTCAATAGTGATCCATGTCACTACTCCATGTACCAAGAAAATGAGGCAAACTTCATACTTCTTCATAATCAACCATTTGTGCGAAAACTTATCATGGACCCTTGGGTAGCATGTGCGGTGGATCCGAATTGTATGTGTCATAACGGAGCACAAAAACTCTTCCGGTGCCCCACCCATACACGGAAATATGGGAAATGTCATCGTTATGACCAGTCAACTATTGGTCTGATTCTCCTGAAATTATTCAGAAGGAACATAGCGACAATTCTGGCCCCAAAAGGTAAATACGCCCACATATCAAGATCGAAGGAAAGTGGGCATCGGTACCTTGAAGAACTGTACAATAAAACAAGACAAATTAGGCTACCCAAATAATTGGCTACTTCCGCAGTATGGTGTTCGGTGTATAAGTGGCCAGAGGTGCAGTATGTGATATTGACTGTCTCCGATGTTGGCTGTGTTGTGTACAACTGGCTGGAGATGCAGTATGTGATCTTGTGTATGATATTGACTGTCTCCGATATCGGCTGTGACGTGTACAACTGTGGGTGCAGTATGTGATCTTGTGTATGATATTGGCTGTCTCCGATATCGGCTGTGTTGTGTATAACTGTGGGTGCAGTATGTGATCTTGTGTATGATATTGACTGTCTCCGATATCGGCTGTGTTGTGTACAAGTGGCTATAGATGCAGTATGTGATCTTGTGTATGATATTGACTGTCTCCGATGTCGGCTCGCAGCCCGATTTTGAATGACAGCTGGCTGGGACAGAATAGGTTTATTCCAATTCTGTTTCCTCTTTTTCAGTTTGTGAATTCTGCATGACAACATCACCTACTCACCTCAACCACTCAGAAATACATTCAACAGGTTTTTAGCTCTAACAACATCCATAAAGATTTTAAAGTGATCCCAATTAGTGGAAGGTGCTCAGGACGCTTTGGTTCATGTGTTTCGTCTACCTTTGAGTAAACATGATGATGGTCAACACACTTGAAAAGACTTTTACACAGAAGCAGATCATAATACGTTGTCAAGACAACCCTGTGACATTTTCTATGATTTCTTTGATTGCAGTGTATGTCAGCTGATGGAAAACATATCATCCCAAGGACAGTATTAGAATTCTTTGTAGAACAAACCTGAAACATGTAACAAAATATAAGTCACCAATGGAATCATTTCATGCTACTGAGAATAACATAAGTAAACGATGTCATAAACACGATAGCTACAGATATATGAATTGTATATATTTCTTTTTCAGAAATATAAAATGTGCATTCATTTAAATAACGGCATGTACATACCCGCTATACATGCTGTGATAAAACATGCAATATTCCCTGCTATCATTGCCCGGAAAACGACAGCAGAAAGATCTTTCTTCCGAGGCGGAGCAAGCGCCGACAATCCCCCCAAAGTGATGCCTATCGAGCCGAAGTTCGAAAACCCGCACAATGCATACGTTGATATCACCTCCGAGCGTTCCTGGAACGTAAGACGCAAAATGGAGCATTACATGTATGTTGATGTTACTCCGAAAATAACACACATGAAACCAACCATTGACATCCTCTTTTTGAGTGGGCTTGGTGTAATATTGTTTAAGCGTAACATGGTGTTTCAACAGAATAAGCGGGACAATAGGATGTGATGAAAAGCAAATACGTTCCTTTTGTAAACACTAACTTCCATGAATCCTCTCTTAGTGAGTGAGTGAGCTAAGAATTACGCCGCACTCAGCAATATTCCAGCTACATGGCGGCGGTCTGTAAATAATCGAGTCTGGACCAGACAATCCAGTGATCAACAGCATGAACATCGATACGATTGGGATACGATGGCATGTGCCAACCCAGTCAGCGAGCCTGACCACCCGATCCTGTTAGTTGCCGCTTACGACATGCATTTGGTTACTGAAGATCAATTCTAACCCGGACCTTCAAGCTCGAATCCTCTCTTAAGCGTTATATTACAATGAGTAAGAACAATATTATAATATTTTATATTATTTTGCATTAGAATAAAATATCCGCAACACAAATCATGTTCCATGTGAACAACGTACAACAATGTGTCTTGCTCAAGTAACTTCAGATGGAATAATGCAGCAAACACGAACCTCCATGAACCCTCTCTTAAGCGTCATATTCCACTGAGTAAGAACAGCAGCTTGGTCATCCCAGTACCACTCGTCCTTGTAGCCGTAGGTCTCTGTGTAGTTCAGGAACGTCTGTCTGTTTTGCAACAGTTCCTGGAGAGATCTGTAGGCGATGAACTCGTTCGTGAAGGTCTTCACGCCCACCAGCTCCGCCACACGACGACAGTCAGCTGGTTGTGTACCCATGAACAAGACAACTGGGTACAGCAGGTAGGAACAAATGAACTGGAAGGAGACAAACTCATTTCAAGCCACTTGGAGAACAATACAAAGAAGACAAGAAGACAAAGTCATCAATATACCCCGCAATGGTATAATACTCTTCATGAATATGTCATCTAGTTATGACTATGTCAAATGGTACATTGTTCTTCACACTGACCTAACAAAAACATATATATGTAATCTATACATATACTAGCAAACTTGTATCAACAATAGACTGGCTGAGTGCTCCCATGGTTTGATGTACCTCTGTACCTTTGATGTCACTATGTTCTTAAATACCCTCAAAGTGGAAGGAGAGTATTGAAATATTTTAAAGTTCTGCTCCGGAAAAGAGCACCAACAGCAATTTCACTCAAAGTCATGGAAACGCAAAAACTATTTTATTCAGAAATCCGAAAAACTACCAAAAGGCACCGGTTCACCAACAGACCTATCTTCTTTCCAAGTTTAATGAAGAAACATTGAACGGTTTTTAAGTTCTGCTCCGGAAAAGAGCACTACCGCCAATTTCAGTCAAAGTCAAAGTACCCATGGAAACGCAAAAACTATTTTATTCAGAAATCGAAAAAACTACCAAAAGGCACCGGTTGACCACCAGACCTATCTGTGTGCAAAGTTTGCTGTAAAAATACTGAACGGTTTGTATATTCTGCTCCGGAAAAGACTTTTGCACGGAAGGACGGAAGGACGGACGGACAGACGGAGTCCACAATAATACCCCTCGCAAAACGCATTGCGGAAGATAAATATTCACATACGTCACGGATATGGCGTTCAGCGTTTTATAGTGCATATATGTATATACCTTCCCTTACACGACGTATCATGACCCTTGGTTTGAATTCCCAAATCTGTCCAGACTGTAAATGATATCCATACTCGAGGTCGTCAATAATCCCTTCATCATTTTACTATTCATTTCCCACGTTAAACTGACGCTATTGACCAAAGCGCTGTAAAATTCTAATAAAAATGCACTTCCAAATACTGAACACGTGGTTAATGCTATCGCCAATTTCTGGTGTCCCCCCGCCGTGATATTGCTGGAATATTGCTATTAGGGTCGTAAAACAAGATCCACACACCCATTAAGCTGCAATTCCACAGCGAGGCTCTAAAACACAGTTGCCCCAGTATTCAATTACTTCGCATGTCAAGGTTACCCTGCTTCTGTAAAACAGGTTAAGTGATAGGTTATATTTGACATGTTCTTATTTAAGTATAATTTGGTCCAGAACTGTTATAGAATCGATGCAAACGGACACGCGTTGTCTGTCGTACCTCAAAAGTGAAACCTTCCACGCCTATTCGGTCCCCAAACCAGATTAGAGTGGCATTGACGAAGGCAAGGATGGCGAGAAAAGCGATGACGTTGACAACGATGTTGGCGATGAGACGGATCGATGTGGAAGGTCCATCTGATGCCGCCTCGACCAGGTTGTTTTCTTTCCTGTGAAATGAATCACCTAATTAATGGCAGTTACGAAATGTGTTCTACATGAGTTCTGCTAGGATTGTTGTATACACGTTTTGAACCATTACGATATTCACAAGAGTAACAGAATGTCATGTATATTCTGAAATGCGCTTTGGCCAGTAGCTATGGCACTCCATCCTGCCAGCAATTACATTTTAAATATATGTTCAAGTCCAATATGTAACTGTGGGTAATTGGTATGAGTATTTGGACAAAGTTATCCTTGTTGTGAAAGTTGACGTGTGTTACATTTCACTCGGGCATGGTCAGTAAGATAAATTGTTCACTACCAACATGTATTTTCCAGTTTACAGATGTTGGTCATTGTTGCCAACCGAATTAGGTGGCAGGTAATGCACTCTGAGTGAATGAATTTCTTTATTCCCTCCTGCATTTACATCCGAAGATTTCCAATGTATCTGATGTTACTTGGAGCATATACACAGTACTAGTATATACATGAATATAAATAGGTGCCTTTTTAATACATTATCTATGTACACAAATGAGAGATTTTTTGATACAACACAGAGGGAGTGATACAATACATTTTCCAATTTGAGATGTATTGACAGATTATTAATGATATGCTTTCTTGTACTCTGGCTCATAATTCCAGATTTGCCACAGAATAGAGCAAGCATATTATTTTCCTCTCGATCTCAAGCGCATCCTCTCGCATTTTACGGATATACTTCTATCGCAGGTCCTGGCCACAGATATATTGGGCTGAGGCGTAGTTGTTTAAAAGTCGTTTATTCTGTAAAACATAAAGATAATGTATGGTCGAGGAGGGTAACAACTCCGCCTGGCCGTAGCATCACATGAAGTGGCAAAATTTGAAGATGACAACGCCATGGAACAAGTACTACTGGTATTACAACCAGATTAAGAGTGAGAGAAGAAGCGCTCGTAAATAAGCAGAAGGGAATGACTGACTGACTGACTGACTGAGTTTGGTTTTTACGCCGCTTTTAGCAATATTCCAGCAACATCACGGCGGGGACACCAAAAATTGGCTTCACACATTGTACCCATGTGGGGACTCGACCGGGTCTTGGGCGTGACGAGCCAACGCTTTAACCATTAGGCTACCCCACCGCCCCAGAGAGGAATGAAGCAAGATACGCAATGCATTGGGAAATACAGCTGGCGACAATACTTTGATTGTACCGTTGAATGTAGGTTGACCACAAACCTAACTGCAAATCCATCATTTCAACATTTTTTTGATTTCATGGGTTACTGTTGAATGTGAGGGGACTACGAACCCATTTCTTTCTATCTGTACTTGTTTTGATGCTAATGTAGACTGTTAGCGAACGGCAAAGATAGCCTTTTACATTTTCCTGATTTCCAATCTACATTTCAAGTCTACATTTACTTCCTTTTGTTAATTTCTAATTCAGTCTACAACCAATGCACACCCACCCTGTCTTCATTTTACCAAAGTCGTCCGACGATGCGGTGGTCACTTCAGTCTCCGGACATATCAGTTTAGAAATGGCCAACGCCGCTGGTGCCGACATCACAGACGCCGACAGTAAATGGCTGGCAGGAACCTGAAGAAAGGGTTAACACTGAAGTAAAGACTAGTGTAGATAATCTGGCTGGCTCAACAACTGTTTGAATTTACTGTGAATTGACTTCTATATTCAATCCAGTTGCGTTAGAAATTTGCTTATAAGATAAGTATCAGATGATGTTACTGGCATGGGAACCTATTGTTTCCTGCAGTCCTTAAGGAGTATTGTGGTTGAGTGAGTGAATATGAATTCGCCGCGTTAAGCAATATTCCGGCAATAATACAGATCGTACCGTGGGGAATCGAACCCGGGTCATCGGCGTAACAAGCGAACCCTTTA